GCCTATAACAGTAGGGTTTCTAATTCCTGAATCATCATTTTTGACTCTTTCTTTAAAAATATTTATTTGAAAAGCAAAGTGACAGAGAGGGGGAGACAGAGAAGAAGCTCTTTCCTCTACTAGTTCACTCCTCCAAATGGCTGCAATAGCCAGGCCTGGGCCCAGCTGAGGCCAGGAGCCTGGGACTCCATTCAGGTCTCCCATGTAGGTGGCAAGGCCCCAAGCACTTGGGCCATCCTCCTCTGCTTTTCCAGGTGCATTAGCAGAGAGCTGGATCAGAAGCCGAGTACCCAGGACTCAAACTGGTGCTCTGATACAAGATGCAGCGGCTCAACCCACTGTGCTGTAATGCTGGTTCCTCTTGATTCTTTTTTTTTTTTTTTTTTTTTTGACAGGCAGAGTGGACAGTGAGAGAGAGAGAGACAGAGAGAAAGGTCTTCCATTTCTGTTGGTTCACCCTCCAATGGCCGCTGTGGCCAGCACGCTGCGGCCGGCACACCATGCTGATCTGAAGCCAGGAGCCAGGTGCTTCTCCTGGTCTCCCATGGGGTGCAGGGCCCAAGCACTTGGGCCATCCTCCACTGCACTCCCGGGCCATAGCAGAGAGCTGGCCTGGAAGAGGAGCAACCGGGACAGAATCCGGCGCCCTGACCAGGACTAGAACCCGGTGTGCCGGAGCCGCAGGCAGAGGATTAGCCTATTGAGCCGCGGCGCCGGCCAACTTGATTCTTTTTTTAGGAAGGGAAAAGTCCCCATGGCAGGCAGGGAAGGTGCTCATAGGTGAACGGACGGTCTGGGCCTTCAATGCCAGGCTGGCTGGGAAGAGGCAGGGCATCCAGGGGAACCCCGGGTCATGGATGAGTTGATACTGGCCTTGGCCTTGGCCTTGACTTTGCTTTTGCCCTGAAATTGCAAAGGACACTTACAGGCCATCTGACTTCAGTCAGCATAGGGTAATTCCTGTCCATTCTGTGCCGTCTCTGTGAATGAAACACAGTCCTGAATTGGGGTGGTCATCTAGTTCTTTGGTTTATATCCAAACCTAATTTTATACTTGTTACTCCGAAGTGCTTCAAGTGAAAACGAAAGGCAGCAGGAGAGGGGGTGGGGAGGGGCACTTGCTACTTCACATCAATGCTTTGCTCTGCTCTGGGGACCTCTGGCCTGAGAAGGAATGCAAGTCCCAGGGACAAGGTCAGGGGCAGGTTGCTTTTCTTCCCACCTGAGCAACTGCTCTTGGGAAAGTAAAATCAGGAGGCCAGCATTATGGAGCAGAAGATTTAAGCTACCACTTGTGATGCCAGCTTCCCATTTCAGAGCACCAGTTCAAGTCCCGGCTGCTCCACATCCAATCCAGTTCCCTGCTAATGCACCTGGGAAAGCAGCAGAAGATGGCACAAATGCTTGGGCCCCTGCCACCCACATAGGAGACCCAGGTAGAATTTTTTTTTTTTTTTGACAGGCAGAGTGGACAGTGAGAGAGAGAGACAGAGAGAAAGGTCTTCCTTTGCCGTTGGTTCACCCTCCAATGGCCGCCGCAGCCAGCGTGCTGTGGCCAGCGCACCGCGCTGATCGGATGGCAGGAGCCAAGTACTTCTCCTGGTCTCCCATGGGGTGCAGGGCCCAAGGACTTGGGCCATCGTCCACTGCACTCCCTGGCCACAGCAGAGAGCTGACCTGGAAGAGGGGCAACCGGGACAGAATCCGGCGCCCCGACTGGGACTAGAACCTGGTGTGCCAGCAGCGCAAGGAGGAGGATTAGCCTAGTGAGCTGCGGCGCCAGCCCCAGGTAGAATTCTAAGCTCCTTCCTTTGGTGTAGCCAAATGGAGAGTGAACCAGTGGTTGGAACCTCTCTCTCCCTCTCCCTCTCCCTCTCCCTCTCCCTCTCCCTCTCCCTCTCCCTCTCCCTCTCCCTCTCCCTCTCCCTCTCCCTCTCCCTCTCCCTCTCCCTCTCCCTCTCCCTCTCCCTCTCCCTCTCCCTCTCCCTCTTTGTCACTGCACCTGCCAAATAAGCAAATAAACAAATCTTTTTTTAAAAAAATAAGATCAGAGTCATAATGTAAACATGTAGAAAGATCTTATCAACGTATTTTAAATTTTAGCTTTCTTAACATGTAAGTATTATCTAAAACATGAAACCAGTTGGTTTCTGTTAATCATTCATGCTCAAAAGGAAAGAATGAAAAGAAAAGGATAAGTCCAAGGGCTTGTGCATCTTGTGTCACTTTTGTTCTGGCTTCCGTGTAAGCCACCTGCAGGGCAGCCACAGCAGCACACTTCTGCCTGCTAAGCCTTCAGCCCCCGTTCCTCTGGCCACAGGGGAGTGGCTGCTGAGCCACTTTATAAAGGGAAGTGCTGTGCACACAGAAAAGGAAGGAGCCCTGATGGCGGCTCTGGGATCCATTCATGTGGTTGCTGTGATGGGTGGATGGGTGGGTGGGTAGAAGGAAGGGAGGGAGGGAGAGAAGGGACAAGGAAGGGAGGGAGCAAAAGAGAAAAGACAGAAAACCGTCTCCTCTACAGAAGTCGACACAGCTCCTGCAGGCCCGGCTTTGGCTGCAGGTTGGGCTCTGGATCCAGACCAGACAAGTGAGCGCCTCCTTTCCAGGAAATGTTTCCTGGGGTGCAGATAGCTATAAACATACACCTTGGCCTACATACGCATTTATGATTTATTCCTCAGGCTTCTTTCATGATTTTTCTCTTTACCTTTGACTTTCTGGATTCAGAGCATGATGAGCTTATACCTAGTTGGTTTTTATTTTTACTGCGTTTATCGTTACTGGTGTTCTCTGAGCTGCCTCCAGCTGCGGTTTGGTGGCTGACATGATCTGGGGAAACGTCAGCCATTGCTGTTTCAAGCATTTCTTTCTTTCTTTCTTTCTTTTTTCTTTTTTTTTTTTTTCTTATTCCCCTTCTTCTGACAGTCTCTTAAACGTAACTCACACCGTTTTCATGGTCCATGGCTGTGGGATTCTCTCTTTTGTTTTCAGTCTTTCTGCTTTCTCAGCGTTGGGGGCTTCTGCCGTCTTGTCCTTGAGCCCGGAGTCTTTCGCTTCCCTTGCCCCTCTCTTCAGTTCTGGGTTTTTGATTCCCAGTGTGCCTGTTCTCCTTTTTCTTAGACTTTCAGTCTCTGGGCTCGCATTATCCACCGTTCCTGCCTGTTGCCTGCTTCTGCTGCGAAAGCCCTTAGCGTGTTAATCGTGGTATTTCTTTTCATTTCTGCTCTGGTGATTGCAACATTTCTGCCGCATACGACCGAGGTTCCGACGCCAGCTCTGCCTCTTCCGACGCCAGCTCTGCCTCTTGCAGCTGTACTTTTTGCCGCACAGTAGGCCTTGCCATGTGTCCTCCTAGCTGCGTGTGATGTGCCAGGGGGAGCAAGCTGTGGAAATCAAATCAGGCCTGCAGGGGTGTGGTGCTGAGGAGGGGAGCAAAGGCCGTGACTGGGGCGCCTGGTGACCTGTGCCCATGGGAACGTCACAAGGACACTTCTATGGAACAGGATGGCTGGGGGAGTCGGGGTTGTGTATTTTGTGCCCATGTGTGTGGAAGGCTAGAGGGGGCTGGCATCAGGTGTTCCCTTGGCCCACGAGGAAGGGGCGGGAGGCAGTGCTGCCGGGGCTCTGGAGAAGCTCCACCAGGTTAAAGTAGTTTCTCTGGAAGTCAGGCCTTGTTAACAAGAGACGAATGCTCCTCCCTCTCCCTCCCCCTCCCCCTCTCTCCCTTTTTTAAGCAGGTAAGTTGGTTTGTTTTTACGTTTTCCTACTTGACACAGACGAAGCTTGCAGGGAAAGAACACAGCACAACAGAAGCCAGCGCCTGCACCTGCAGGCTGGACACGAGGAAAGGCAGCCGATGTGCGAGGTGCTCGGGCTTCTGGATTTGATGGCTCCGCTTACACGCAGCCAGACGGTCCCCCTCCTCCCGCTGTGGGAAGCATGAGGGGCATGTTTTCCCTCCGTCTTCACCGCACAGACCCAGCCAAGTTCCTGGGAACCCCTTTGATTGAGCCCTCTCGGGTCGTTAACCCTCAGACCAGCCACCTAAGCCTCTGGCAGCGCACCAGTGGCCGCACAGGTGTCTCCCTTCCTGGCCTGGGTCCCATAGGTTGTGATTCTCCGTATCTTCTGTGGAGCTCGCCAATTTTTAAATTTCATTTTCATTTATTTGAAAGTCAGAGAGAGAGAGAGAGAGAGAGAGATCCATCTTCCATCTGCTGGTTCACTCCCCAAATGCTCACAACAGCCAGAACTGGGCCAGGCCAAAGCTACAAGGCAGGAACTCTATCTGGGTCTCCCATGTGGGTGGCAGGGACCAAGTGCTTGAGCCATCACCTGCTGCCTCCTAGACTGCAAATTAGCAGGAAGCTGGAATCTGAAGCAGAACTAAGATTCAAACCCAGGTACTCCAGTGTGGGACACGGGCATTCCCAAGCGGTATCTTAACCACTATGCCAAAATCCTAGCCCTAGCTCTGCGATTTTCAGGGCCAGGGCCCAGGGCAGGGGGATTGCCCTGTGATTTCACTCCTTTCACAGAGCTAAGAAGATGTGGATTTTTTTTTTCGGTTTAGCTTTTCATGATTGATTAGTAATTGGTGGTTCAACTGGAGAATAACACATCAAATTAGCATATACACCAACTCATTATATATTCATCTCAATCCAATTTAATTTTAAATGTTTCAGTCTTCACATCAACAAGCCAAAATGCTGAAAGCGCTCGTGTGTCAAAGCCCACGTCTGAGGGTAGAAAAATGTGCTCACCAGTCTGAAGCTTCTGTTCCGGGGACGTGGGCCGCAGCCCCAGTCACTCCTCGAGCCTAAGTTGCTCAGCTTTGCATCTTTGGTTAAAGGGACTTTTGCAGGGGTCATCCAGGGACCCTGTCTCTCTAAAAGTGCATGTTGAGTAACTCCTGGCAGCCGCCTGCCCTGCCGAATTTCTATTTCACCATCTGGAAGGTGACGCTGTCACAGCCACTTCCCCTTGTGGTGCAGGAAGCAGAGCATCTCTCCCCGAGCCCAGGAGCACACGGGAATCCCCCCAGCACAGACGGCTGCACAAAGGTGCTCCGGAGGCCTCCGCAATGCCTGCCTCTGCCTCTCAGCCCCCTCTTCCTTGTGCTTTCCTGCTGCTGATGCTATTGCTGCAACTCACAGGTAAGTACAGCCAGGGGGCAGATGACTCCCTGTCCCCTGACCCCTCCTGCCCGAGGACTTTCAGGGACTCCAGACACACTTGGGTGGTGCTGTGACAGACCAAGGGCTGGGCATTACTGAGAGCACAGAGCCAGGAACCCGAGCATTCTCTCTGCAGCAGTGGCCGGAAGCCTTGAAGCAGAAACGCTCCAAGCAACAGCACTAATATTCACTTCTACTTACATAACATTTTCATCAACAGAAGTTTTTCCGAAGGATCATTATTTAAATCCTTGCAAGTCCTGAGGTTTTGAGGGACAAGGCCACCTGCCCGGGGCCCCAGAGTGAGCTCAGAGGCAGCTGAGAGCGCTGCCTGGCTCCAAGCCAGGGCTTGTCTTTGTGCAGCCTGGGGAGCCCCTGCTCAGAGCTCCCGGAGCGCTTCCCCCTCTCTGCCGTGGAGCTGACCCCGTGATCGCTGGCTGGGCACAGCAGCCCTCCCTGTTCCCCACATTGCTCCAGCTGTGATGCCACCTCAGGGGACACAGAGAGCAGGAGTCTAGCTCTAAGGTTGCTTCACACCCGCTGCACCTGAGTGACAGCAGTAGCCGTTCACTAATGAGCTCTTCTGACCAGAGGGCATAGTCCCTCACACTCTGTGCTCTGAACATCCCTGGGCGATAAATCCTCCTCCCGTGGAGAAACTGAGGCAGAGAGAGGCATGAGCTCAAGGGCACCTCCTTCAGTCGTGGAAGAGCCAAGACCCACATCCAGGCTGGCCAGCTCCAGGCTTCGTCCTTTTAGCAGTGTTGTGCCGTCGGAAGCCGGTGCAGTCTGCTCTCAGAAAATCAGGAGAGGCAGAGAAGCAGTGAGGAGCGACCGTGGCCCACCCCACTGCTCCATCTCTAGGCTGAAAACTCTGCTGCGTCCGTTCCCAGGCTTTCAGAAACAGCGCCCTGGACACTTGCTGTTTTGCGGAGGTTGTCATGCATTACTATGTCCCTGGATCCTCAAAACCACCTGTGCACCAGCGTGCGAGGCCACACACACATTTGTGAATGGCACTCTGTGTGTACATGTGTATGTAGGTGGACAAGAGACACAAGCGGACACACGCGAAGACACAGGCACACAGATAGGAATCTGAAGAAGCCTTTGGCGACTGTTGCAGCACAAAAGGCACGTTAGACATTTGGCCTTCCGGCCGCCCAGCCACCTTCCCGCACTTTCCGCTTCTCTGTCCTCCCCTAAGCTCTTCAGGTGAGCAAAATTCTCCCCTGGTAAAATGAGTGCTCTCTCAAAGCACAATTTCTGTGCCTTACAGGCTGGGAACTTGTTCTTCTGTGCTTGGGGTGGCGGGGAGGAAGAGGGGATGAAAGAGATTCTGCCGCTGCTGTTGCCTCTGACTGTAATTATGTCTACACCCAGGTCGTGGGCTGATGTCAGCTGAGACCTCGTTCCTCACAATCTACAGAGTCATAACGTTTCCGTTTTTTAGAAAAGATTTGTTTGAGAGATTTACGGGGGCAGAGGCGAGAGAAAGAGCTTCCATCTGTTGGTTCACTCCCCAAATGGTTGCAATGGCTGAGTCTGGGCCAGGCAGAAGCCAGGAGCCAGGAGCTTCTTCTGGGTCTCTCTTGTAGGTGCAGGGGACCAAGCACTTGGGTCATCTTCTCTGCTTTCCCAGGCTATTAGCAGGGAGCTGGATCGGAAGTGGAGCAGCTGGGACTCAAACCGACACCCAGATGGCATGCTGGTGCCACCAGCGGCAGCCTAACAGGTTTTGCCACAACACCGGCCCCTGTTCCATTTCTTGAACACTCACCAGGTGCCAGACACTGTTGGAAATGTGTTAGGGTCCCCATCCAGTGTGATCGTTATATCTAAGGGACCCTTGTCGCTCCGCCTGACCAGTAAGGAAACGAAAGGCCTGATAGCAGTAAGGTTCCTCATCGGCAAGTGGCAGCACCACACTTTGGCCTCGGGGGGGCTGGCGGCAAGCTCTCAGGTTCACTCGTTCTTAAACACTCAAGCTTGCGACCTTTGTCCCACAGCCTCTGCCTGTGGGTGGAGAGGAGGCACCTGGGGCGTGGACACCAGGGCTTGTGGTTTCCTTCTCCTGGGCTCTTCTGCTTCTGTGTCTATGCGAATTGGTTTTGGTTGTTTTTGCCAAGTCATCTAGAGGAGAAACAGCTTCTGACAACTGTACAGAAATGATCCACGGGAAAGCCTTCAGTGTCCCAGGGAGGAATCGCACATTAGGAGGTACCTATTATGTGCCAGGAGCTGTGACAAGGGCTTGGATAACACCAACTGGTTGTGCTTGTGGACCTCAGATCCCACTGCGGGAAATGACCGTAACCAATTCACACAACATGTAGGGCCCTGATGTGGGGAATGAGCAACACTAAGGGCTGAGGCAAAATTATGTAGAGCTGGGTAAGAGAAATGAGATCTGTGGGGGGATACGGATTGAAAACAGGGGGTGGTTGGGGCCGGCACTGTGGTGTAGCAGGTAAAGCCACTGCCTGTAGTGCCAGCATCCCATATGGGTGCCAGTTCGAGTCCCGGCTGCTCCTCTTCCGATCTAGCTCTCTGCTATGGCCTGGGAAAGCAGAAGGTGGCCCAAGTCCTTGGGCCCCTGCACCAAATGGGAGATCTGGAAGAAGCTCCTGGCTCCTGGCCACGGATCAGCGCAGCTCCAGCCATTGCAGCCACCTGGGGAGTGAACCAGCAGATGGAAGACCTCTCTCTCTCTTTTTCTCTCTCTGCCTCTGCCTCTCTGTAACTCTGCCTTTCAAATAAATAAATCTTTAAAAAAAAAAAAAGAAAGAAAAAAACAGGGTGGTCTAGGTGAGCTTCCTGAGAAGCAGAAATCGGAGCAAAGATCTAAAACAGCTGTGGGAGTGGGTCACATGGCTATCTGGGGTAAAGCCTTCCTGTCTGGCAAACAGCAGGTGCAAAGACTCCATCAATTGACAGAACGAGGCAGTGGCAGCTGCTGCCATGGTGGTTGGTGGCCGGGTGCAACATGTCTAGACTGGGGGCTCTGGGAAGCACCCTGTGCCGGGCTGAGACTGCTGCTGGGTGCTGCTGCTGGCTTTGGATTCCTGTGCGGCCTTTACAGCCAGCAGTGGAAACGGACTCAGCGCCATGGCCAGAGCCAGAGGCTGCCCAACTCCCTGGACTATGGACAGACCAGAGCCTGGATGCCAAGCGATGCTGTTAGGGGCCATCCCGGGTGAGGCAGGCGATGACGCGGTGCTGCCCGGCCTTCCACAGGAAGGGCAGGAGAAGGTGCTGGACAGCCTGGACTTCACGCTGAATGGTCTTGTGGCGCTGCCAGCAGCCAGGAGCCGGGAGGTGGAGGAGCGGAGAAGCAGCCTGCAAGGACTTGCTGGGGAAATTGTTGGGGAGGTCCGATCCCACATGGAAGAGCCTCGGAGAGTAGCTCTGCAGTGAAGGTTCCTGTTTGCCCAGGAGAGGAGCAGCTCCACTGACTCCAGCTCTGTGCAGCTCACGGCCTCCTCGGGAGCCATGTACACAGATGCAGAGAGTGAAGGCGGTTACGCAACAGCCAGTGCTGGGTCTGACTGTGAGCGGGACTCTGACAAGGAGAGTGAGGATGGGGAAGATGAAGTCAGCTGTGAGACCATGAAGAAGGGGAGAAGGGATCCTCTGGGCCTGGAAGTGGAGGCAGAGGCAGCTGCAGGTCCTGCCGGAGACTCCTTGGACCTGGACGATGCACTGCCAGTCCTGCAGCAGGGGGACGAACTGCACCCAGGCGGTGAGCAGAACAGGCGAGAAGGCCCCCAGCTCCTGCTCAACAACAAGCTAGTGTATGGGAGCCGGCGGGACTTTCTCTGGTGCCTGGCCTGAGCTTACAGTGATGCGTGTGAACTCACTGAGGCGGTGAGCGAGAAGTCCTGTGCCCTGAATGGAAAAGCAGTAGCCGAGGCCACCGTGGAGAAGGCATGAGTGTGCTGTGTGTCACCAGTGGGATGCAGCACTTTGTGGTCAGCTGGCTGAGCATGAGGGAATCCAGACGCGTATCCAGAGTGGCTTTAGTGTCAAGGAACACGTGGACAAAGCCAATGCTCTCCAGCCAGCACCGCCAGCCCCCATGCCTGTTTTCATGTGGTCCTGACCTACATTATCCTAATTACTAGTGTTTCTAAGTGTATTCTCTTGTGCTTATTGGCTATTTGTGTGTCTTCTTTGGATAAACGCATATTCGTGTCCTTTGTCCATTTTATAATTTTGTGGTTGAGTGGCAACTGTTCTTTATATGTCTCTGATATTAATCTCTTCTGAGATACATGCTTTGGAAACATTTCCTCCCATTCTGTGCACTCTTTCCACTTTCTTGATAGTGTCCTTTGATGCACAAATGTTTTAGTTCAGTTCATCCGCATTACTTTGATTCCTTATACTTTTGGTTTCATCTTGAAGAAATCATTGCTAAATCCAATGCCATGAAGAGTTTTCCCATTTTACCTAAGGGTTTTATACTTTTGGTTCATTTACTTAGGTCTTTGATCATTTTGAGTTACCTTTTTTTTTTTTTTTTTAAGATTGACTTAATTTTTTTGAGAGGCAGAGTTACTGATTAGGGAGATACAGAGAGACAGAGATAGATATCTTCCATGCACTGGTTCACTTCCCAGATGGCCACAATGGCCGGGGATGGGCCAGGCCAAAGCCAAGAGCCAGGAGCTTCATCTGGGTCTCCCCTGTGGGTTCAGGGGCTCAAGCACTTGGACCATCCTCCACTGCTTTCCCAAGTGCATTACCAGAGAGTTGGATCAGAATTGGAGCACCATGGGATGCCAGCATTCTAGATGGCAGCTTAACCTGCTGTGCTACAGCACCCCTCCTTGAGTTTTGTATATGGGGTGAGGTAAGGGTCTATGTTCATTAACTTGCATGTGGATATCTGACATATTGAAAAAACTGTTCTTTTCCCATTGAATGTTCTTGGCACTTTTGTTGTAAAGCAGTTAACCAGGGCTTGTGCTGTGGCATGGTAAGTTAAGCCTCCACCTGTGATGCCAGCATCTCATATGGGTTTGAGTTCTGGATGCTCCATTTCCAATCCAGCTCCCTGCTAATGACTTGGGAAAACAGTGGAAGATGGTCCAAGTGCTTGAGCCCCTGCACTCATGTGGGAGACCCAGAGGAAGCTCTTGGCTCCCGGATTCAGATCAGCCCAGTGTAGCCATTGCAGCCATTTGGGGAGTGAACCAGCAGATGGAAGACCTCTTTCTCTGTCTGTCCCTCTCTCTGCCAGTAACTCTGCCTTTCAAATAAATAAATAAATCTTAAAGAAGAAAAGCAATTAACCATAAGTGAAATTATTTATTGACTCTCTATTCTGTCTCCTTAGTCCATGTGTCTATCCACACTGCTTTGAATTTGTAGAGCTTTGAAGTTTTAAAATAAGGAAGCATAATTCTTCCAAGTATAATTCTTCCATATTTTTATTTTTCAATATTATTTTGATTATTTGGGCTCTCTTGAGATTTCATGTGAATTTTAGAATAATCTTTTCCATTTATGTCCCCCCAAAAATGCCACTGACATTTTGATAGGAACTTCATAGAATCTGTGGATTTCTTTGGCTAGTATTGACATCTTAGTAATACTAAGTCTTTAAATCCATAAACAGGTCCATTTGATCTTTTTTTTCATTTATTCTTTCTTTTTAAATTGATTTCAGCAATGTTTTATAGTTTTAAGTTTATAAGGCACTTTTTAAAAGATTTATTTATTTAAAAGGCAGAGCGACACATGTACCAGCATGGGGGTAGGGGGACAGAGAGGCAGTGACAGATTGGCCATCCACTAATTCATTCCTCAAATGGACACAACAGCCAGGACTAGACCAGGACAAAGCCAAGAGCCAGGAACTCCATCTGGGTCACCCGTGTGGGTAACAGGGGCCCAAGTACTTGGGCCATCTCTGCTGCCCCCCCAAGCACATCAATAGGAGTCTGGATGAGAAGTGAAATAGCTGGGACTTGAACCATTACTTTAATATAGGATGGTGGTGTCGCAAGTGATGGCTCAACCTGCTACAACACAAGAGAGCACAGTTAGGCTTGACTCAGGTGCTTATAATCAACCATCTCACAAGAGCTACCTTCCAATGACAGCCCCCCCCACCAACTTAAGGACCCCCCCACTAGTCCCACTCCTAAGCACCACAATTGGATCAATTCTCCACCCTCTTTAATATCACTAATTTATGACTCTAGGAGCCGGCATTGTGGTATAGCACCTAAAGCTGCCACCTGCAGTGCCAGCATCCCATATGGGCGCTGGTTCAAGACCTAGCTGCTCCACTTCACATCCAGTTCTCTGCTATGGCCTGGGAAAGCAGTAGAAGATGGCCCAAGTCCCTGGGCCCTTGCACCCATGTGGGAGACCCAGAAGAAGCTCCTGGCTTCAGATCGGCTCAGCTCCAGCCATTGTGGCCAATCGGGGAGTGAACCAGCAGATGGAAGACCTCTCTCTCTCTCTCCTCTCTCTCTCTCTCTCTCCCTCTCCCTCTCTCTGGCTTTCCTTCTCTCTATGTAACTCTGACTTTCAAATGAATAAATAAACCTTTTAAAAAAATTTATGACCCCGGGGTTTAAATATCTGCATGAGGAAAGGAGCCAAATGATGCTCCACTGTTGGCACCTGCTTGGTGCTATCATTAAGGCCACTGGGAGTAGTCTAGAGACCCCAGGACGCATGACAGAGGTTGGAAAACCCTCTACAGTAAGGGAGTTTGGCTTTGTCTACTGGCTGGATTTGAAGACAATAATGGTGACTGCTGGTTTTAATTTATATGTAAAAAGTATGTACAGGAAATATGCTGCTGCTAAAACCCCAGAGAACTTACAGATACTGGATTTGGTGTCATTAATAAGAGTTTCAAATGAATGGCCTTGGAGGAGACTAGTGATGATGATGTGTCCCACCTGGAGAAAGGGGGTGTCGATAAGAGCTTATGTGCAAAGACTGTGTCTGGTGGCAAAACTGTTGAGGTCCCCTTGGGGTGGCCTGGGAAGGAGGAACAGTGTCCCCGTAGAGGTGGGGGCCGATGGCAGCTGAGCAGCTGTGGTTAGAGAACAGAATAAGTCAGCCAATATCTACGAGCAAAGTTGTTGATTGAGTAGAACCAGTGATTTCAATAATAGATGATTGGCTATGGGGAGCTAGGTAAATGCCTTATGGTGTAGGGTTGTGTCTCATGATGAATCCATTGTTTTTTAATTTTTTCTGAATATTTAAGAACAAGCAAAATTGTGCTGTCAAATGTACAAGCAGCCGGGTTAACCAGCTATTCATTAGGTTTATATAAGAAATGTTAATCCTCAAAAGATCTGGTTCAACTTACTTCGGACCTTATTAATGGGAGTTTATGGGCTTCCATTTATCAAGTCAATATAAGCGTTAAATATTTGTCATTCATTATGTTGGAGCAATATGCCCAACATGGGGTATTTTAGGGCCATAGTACATAGAGTGTGGCACACGCTTCCGATGTAAACAGGATCACGAGAGGATGGATAGGTAAGGTCTGTGTCTTTCCCCCAGCAGCGGCAGCACAGGAGGAGCTGCAGGTGACTCAGCCTGACCGGTGGGTGTCGGTGGCAGAGGGAGACGCGGCCACTCTGCGCTGCACCGTAAACACCTTGCGGCCCGTGGGGCCCATGAAGTGGTTCAGGGGGGCTGGGCCAGACCGGAAGATGATCTACAACTTCAAGGGAGACCCAGACTCCCGAGTCACAAACGCCTCAGACACCACAAACAGAAACAACATGGACTTTTCCATCCGCATCCGTGACATCACCCCAGCTGACGCCGGCACCTACTACTGCGTCAAGTTCCTGAAGAAGGGTGCCGATGACGAGGAGTTTAAGTCTGCAGGAGGCACGCAGGTGTCTGTGAGTGGTGAGTACGCCGCGGGCCTGCGTGCTGTCTGCTGGGCGGTACCTCGCCCGGCCCATGACACCCTGCGTTCTGTGGGCCCCAGAACCAGCGGCCGTGCGGGCGCTCACTTTCCCAGCCTGGTTTCCTCCCCTTCCACAGATGAGGACAGTCGAGGCTGCAGGGTCTGTGCTCCTGCTCAAGGCTGCGCGGCTGGGGGACGTCTGCACCCCCTCTGCAGCCGGCCCAGGCTTTGCCCCGCAGCGGGGGACGGCCAGTCAGAGGGACTCCGCCCAGGCCTCGCCTGCTGCCTCCAGGGGGTGCTGCCCCTCAGAGTGGCCCCTCGTCTCTCTGTGCAGTAGGCTCTTGTGCCGCCTACTGTGTGCCTGGTCCCGGGGTGAAAAGGCCCCTCCAGGTCCCCTCCCTCAGGCTCCGGAAAGGCGGCCACGGAAAGGGCGGGAAGCCCGCGGGCTCCGCCCCCAGGTGGGACGCGGCTCCGCCCCCGTGTCTGACCCGACCAGGGCTGAGCACTGGCATTTTCCTCAGGGAGTGCGCGCCCTGTGAGCGAGCCCCCAGCAGTCTTTCCCTCTCGTCCAGGGTCTCTAGGCCGGGCACCCAGGAGGGCTTCCCGCTAGAGTTGCTTGGAGTCAACAAATCTCCCAGGGCGCGGGCTCCAGGGGAACCTGGGAACGTGGAGGGAGGGCGAGGGGGACAGGACATGTCCAGGGGCTGCAGTGGGGGCAAGGACACAGGGCCTTGGTTTCCGTCAGCCTCAGTGTTCACATCTTTAAAATGCTGGCAGTTGGGGCACCTTTGGGAGACGCAGAAGGAAATCACGCAGCCCGGAGCAGGCACTGGGCGTCAAGGGCTGCTTCCAGGGTCTGTGATGTGGGCTTGGCCAGGGAGTGCGATCCTGGGCCAGGCCTGGCTTCCCCGCAGTCCTGTTCCCCACCTGTGAGACGGGGATGATCATAGCCCCGATGGGTTCTGTGAGGCCTGCAGAGGACAAGCTCAGAGCCCTGGTCACTGGGCTCAGGGCTGTCCCCGTGCTTCAGTAGTGCGGTGGCCAGGAGAGTGCGCTGTAGCCCACCTGCCCAGGCCCGCCTGGCTGTGCCCCAGCACACGGTGCTCCCCCAGGGGCCTCGGGGTCTCCCTGGCACCCTGCCCCCAGCAGGGCAGGGCTGAGCCGAGTCCTGTGAGGAGCTGAGAGTAGCGCCAGGGGCCGGGGTGCTGGATAATGGAGATTGAGGCTGCGGCCGGGCCACGTGACCTTGGATGGTCACTTCTTCTCCAAGCCCCGGATGGACACAGGGTCTGGGTGGGTTCAGGTGGCTCCTTGGAATCACCTGGGACACTGAGCAAAGTCCCAGAGCCAGGCTCGGCCTGGACATTCCAACAGAACCCACCTGCTGAGGTCCTGGGCAGATGATGTCTTAATTCTACCGGAAGATGCTGAAACAGGGCCAAGGCCCCGAAGCCCTGAGCGAGCCTGAGGCCACAGAGGAGCAGTGGGGTTTTCCCTGCACAAGTGGCCCCTGGGACTGGGGTGAGAACAGCTGTGAGGGTGCGGATGCTTCAGAACAGCAGGTGCTATCATTAAGGCCACTGGGAGTAGTCTAGAGACCCCCAGGACACATGACAGAGGTTGGAAAACCCTCTTACAGTAAGGGAGTTTGGCTTTGTCTACTGGCTGGATTTGAAGACAATAATGGTGACTGCTGGTTTTAATTTATATGTAAAAAGTATGTACAGGAAATATGCTGCTGCTAAAACCCCAGAGAACTTACAGATACTGGATTTGGTGTCATTAATAAGAGTTTCAAATGAATGGCCTTGGAGGAGACTAGTGATGATGATGTGTCCCACCTGGAGAAAGGGGGTGTCGATAAGAGCTTATGTGCAAAGACTGTGTCTGGTGGCAAAACTGTTGAGGTCCCCTTGGGGTGGCCTGGGAAGGAGGAACAGTGTCCCCGTAGAGGTGGGGGCCGATGGCAGCTGAGCAGCTGTGGTTAGAGAACAGAATAAGTCAGCCAATATCTACGAGCAAAGTTGTTGATTGAGTAGAACCAGTGATTTCAATAATAGATGATTGGCTATGGGGAGCTAGGTAAATGCCTTATGGTGTAGGGTTGTGTCTCATGATGAATCCATTGTTTTTTAATTTTTTCTGAATATTTAAGAACAAGCAAAATTGTGCTGTCAAATGTACAAGCAGCCGGGTTAACCAGCTATTCATTAGGTTTATATAAGAAATGTTAATCCTCAAAAGATCTGGTTCAACTTACTTCGGACCTTATTAATGGGAGTTTATGGGCTTCCATTTATCAAGTCAATATAAGCGTTAAATATTTGTCATTCATTATGTTGGAGCAATATGCCCAACATGGGGTATTTTAGGGCCATAGTACATAGAGTGTGGCACACGCTTCCGATGTAAACAGGATCACGAGAGGATGGATAGGTAAGGTCTGTGTCTTTCCCCCAGCAGCGGCAGCACAGGAGGAGCTGCAGGTGACTCAGCCTGACCGGTGGGTGTCGGTGGCAGAGGGAGACGCGGCCACTCTGCGCTGCACCGTAAACACCCTGCTGCCCGTGGGGCCCATGAAGTGGTTCAGTGGGGCTGGGCCAGACCGGAAGATGATCTACAACTTCAAGGGAGACCAAGACCCCCGAGTCACAAACGTCTCAGACACCACAAAGCGAAACAACATGGACTTTTCCATCCGCATCCGTGACATCACCCCAGCTGACGCCGGCACCTACTACTGCGTCAAGTTCCAGAAGCTGGATGCCGATAACATGGAGTTTAAGTCTGGAGGAGGCACGCAGGTGTCTGTGAGTGGTGAGTACGCCGCGGGCCTGCGTGCTGTCTGCTGGGCGGTACCTCGCCCGGCCCATGACACCCTGCGTTCTGTGGGCCCCAGAACCAGCGGCCGTGCGGGCGCTCACTTTCCCAGCCTGGTTTCCTCCCCTTCCACAGATGAGGACAGTCGAGGCTGCAGGGTCTGTGCTCCTGCTCAAGGCTGCGCGGCTAGGGGACGTCTGCACCCCCTCTGCAGCCGGCCCAGGCTTTGCCCCGCAGCGGGGGACGGCCAGTCAGAGGGACTCCGCCCAGGCCTCGCCTGCTGCCTCCAGGGGGTGCTTCCCATCAGAGTGGCCCCTCGTCTCTCTGTGCAGCAGGCTCTTGTGCCGCCTACTGTGTGCCTGGTCCCGGGGTGAAAAGGCCCCTCCAGGTCCCCTCCCTCAGGCTCCTGAAAGGCGGCCACGGAAAGGGCGGGAAGCCCGCAGGCTCCGCCCCCGGGTGGGACGCGGCTCCGCCCCCGTGTCTGACCCGACCAGGGCTGAGCACTGGCATTTTCCTCAGGGAGTGCGCGCCCTGTGAGCGAGCCCCCAGCAGGAGCCCCCGGCTTCCCCTCTCATCCAGGGTCTCCAGGCCGGGCACCCAGGAGGGCTTCCCGCTAGAGTTGCTTGGAGTCAACAAATCTCCCAGGGCGCGGGCTCCAGGGGAACCTGGGAACATGGAGGGAGGGCGAGGGGGACAGGACATGTCCAGGGGCTGCAGTGGGGTTTTCCCTGCACAAGTGGCCCCTGGGACTGGGGTGAGAACAGCTGTGAGGGTGCGGATGCTTCAGAACAGCAGGAGCCTGGGCAGCCCTCGTGAGCCCCAGAGACCTGGTAGGACCCCTCCCACACACGTCCCAGATACACTGAGCTAGATCCAGTCTCAGCATCTGAAACCTGCCTGTTTCAGCGAGGGCCCTCAGGTCCTGGCCTGCAGCCACAGACCCTCCCTCCTGCACAGCCCTCAGGTCCCTGAGGTCCACCCCTGCTATCCGCAGGCTTCCAGTGCCCGGCAGTTGCACACCCGAGACACCTGTGGTCTTGCTGGGGCTTTGCAAGCCCACTCGCCAGGCTCCTCTCCTGGGGATCATTAAGGGGAGGGGGCGCGACCTCCCTGGGTGATTTCTTCTCCTGTGCCCATTTGGGTTTTGTGGCTGCTGCTGGGGCCGGATTTGAACGCTGCTAGGAGCCTTTGCTTGTGCCCAGCCTGCTGCCGCCACCGAACACACCTGCAGGTTCAGAACCAGGAATGAGCAGGGCACCGGTGTACAGTCACGGGTGCTACTTATTCAGCACCTACTGTCTGCCAGTCTCTGACTTGCATCCCTCCTCACTCCTTCTCACTAGGGTGGTAATGTTATCTGATTTAAACAGAGATTTGGGGCTCTGAAAAGATAAGAACGGGGTTGCTAAGATCAGCCTGTGTGGGGTGGGATGGGCCCCACCCTTTACCAGCTGTGTGCCCTTGGCCAGCCACTGCCTCCTTGAGTCTCCACGGGCACCCACCTCATAGGGCTGCTGGGCTCCCAAGACCCCCCTCACAAATGGTGATAGCCTGGGGGGATTCGTTCCAGGACCCCCAAAGTTAGCAAAATCTGCAGATGCTCCGATCGTTTTGCCCATAGCCTATGCACATCTTCCCAGAGATTTTAAATCATCTCCGGCTTACTTCTAAGCCCCATTACAATGTAATGCTATGGAAATCACTGGTATACTGTATTGTTCAGGGAATAGTGACAAGAAAAAGAAGTCTGCTTGTTTAGTACAATTTTGTTCCTGAGATCAGTTTGATCCGTACTCAGTGGAGTCCGTAGGTGGGGAATCTCAGATCCCAAACGTTGAGTGCAGTGCCCGTTGTCCACAAAGGGACGTCTGGGCTGCTGGGGTCTTGATGACTTGACTGATCAAATAACACCTTTAAAAACAAAGTTAGGGGCTGGTGCTGTGGTACAGTGGGTTAATGCCCTGGCCTGAAGCGCCGGCATCCCATATGGGCGTTGATTTGAGACCCAGCTGCTCCACTTCCAATCCAGCTCTCTGCTATGGCCTGGGAAAGCAGCAGAGGATGGCCCAAGTCCTTGGGCCCCTGCACCCACATGGGAGACCCAGAAGAGCTCATAGATCCTGGCTTTGAATTGGTGCATCTCTAGCCATTGAAGCCAATTGGGGAATGAACCAGTGGATGGAAGACCAACCTCTTTCTCTGCCTCTCCTCTCTGTAACTCTGACTTTCAAATAAATAAATAAATCTTTAAAAAGAAAAAAAACCTTAAACTTGAAAGGCTTAGTGAATGTCAGAGACAGAAGGACATCTTCCATCTGCTGGTTCACTCACCAAATGGCCTCAGTGGCCAGGTCTGGGCCAGGCCAAAGCCAGGAGTCAGGAGCTTCATCCAGGTCTCCCACGTGGGTGGCAGGGACCCAAGCACTTGGGCCATCTTCTGCTGCTTTCCCAGGCGCATTAGCAGGGAGCTGCATTGGAAGCAGAGGAGCCAGGACTCTAACTGGCGCCCTGATAGGGGACGCTGGTGGTGCAGGTGGCAGCTTAACACGCTGTGCCACAGCGCTGGCCTCAGCACCCTCTTTATGATTCAAAATATTTGATGGGTGTTGGGGAGCAGGTTGAATACTCACAGGAGCAAACACCTGTGTCCCCTGTGGCCTGACCTCTCCCACATAAAAGCTGGGTGTGATCTTAGCACTTTGGAGACCCCCGCAGGAGCTGGCTACAGGGAGGGGCTGCCCTGGCTCTTCTGCCTCACCCCGTGTGTGCTTGCGGGAGGTGCTTCTGCCGGCTCGGGGGCTGTGCCTGCGTCTCCTGGAGCTCAGGAGCCACTGGGAAATTAACCACCTTGGCTGTCTCGGCACTCAGTGATCTTTGTTCGCAGTCCACAGCGGGCTCCGCAGAAGACCCCTTGCCCTTCTCCCCTCTCAGGGAGGCCCTGGCACAGATTGGGCCCTGCTGGAATGTTTGTGGGAGATGCAGAGTAGACTCGCTACTCCCTGGAGGGAGAGCTCTGGATAGAAGCAGACCCAGGCTCAAGGGAGAGACCCGTGACGTTTGTTTCTGTGGCGCACCTTGGGTGCCGTCTCCAAAGCCTTGGCTTCGTGTAACTCTCGATGCAAGTCTGGAGGAGAAATGCCTGCCGTCCCATTTCTCAGAGGCCAGCGGGGTGTGTCAGGTCCACCTCCTGGTCCTGGTCGTCCCGGGTCCAGCTGTGAGAGCAGAGAGACTGCCCAGTGCCCCCTGCATCTGCTTCTAGAAACACTTTGTCTGAGGTTTGCAAGGTTTCCTGGGGAGGCTGCTGGGAAGAGTTAGCACAGAGGAGAGGGCAGCTGTGATTCTGTTCCTGGGCAGGGCTGGAGGGAGTAGGCCTTGTAGAGGACTTGAACTCAGACTTGGGAGTGCCCCTGTGCGTGCCCTGCCTGTCACTCACTGTCTGGCCTTGGGAGACTCCGCGACCCCCTCTGTCCCCCCAGCATGATTAGAAAGATTGACGTGACGTGAGTCACTGCCTGTCGCCAGGTCATCATGATCCTCTTTCTTGTCTGATGCTCCTTTTGTAGCCAAGCCCTCCACCCCGAAGGTGTCGGGGCCTGGGGCGAGGTCCACCCCGGAGCAGACAGTGGACTTCATGTGTGAGTCCCACGGCTTCTCCCCCCGCAACATCAGCCTGAAATGGTTCAAAAATGGGAACGAGCTCCCGGCCTTCCAGACCAGCGTGTACCCCGTGGGAGAAAGCGTCTCCTACCACGTCTCCAGCACCGTCAAGGTGGCCCTGGCTTCCAGCGATGTGCACTCCCAGGTCATCTGCGAGGTGGCCCACATCACTGTGCAGGGAGGCCCCCCTCTCCGTGGTACTGCCAACTTGTCTGAGACCATCCGAGGTAGACGACCGCACCCCCACCCACGCCCACACCTGGCTGCCGTGCCTGCCCCTGCTGGCTTTGCTCTGGGGCCTGAGTTGCTGCCTCTAATTCCCAGCAGCCCTGCCCACTGGCCCTGGACCAGTCCACCCCAGTGGCTGGCGTGCCAGTCTCTGACCTTTGAGTGGCAGCTGCCGGGTGAAGCCTGGTTGCGTGCCAAGTGCTGTGCCAGTTACTCCTCTCATTCTACCATTCCAGAATATTCTGCAGGTGCTGAGCACCTGTGTGAGCCAAGCCCCTGTCTCTGCAGTGGCCACGTTCCTCCTGCATCCAGGGTTTGGGCTTGTTGATTTCTTTCTTTTTTTTTTTTAAGATTTATTTATTTATTTGAGAGTCAGAATTACACACAGAGAGAAGGAGAGGCAGAGAGAGAGAGAGAGAGAGAGAGAGAGAGAGAGGTCTTCCATCCGCTGGTTCACTCTGCAATGGCCGGAGCTGCACTGATCCAAAGCCAGGAGCCAGGAGCTTCCTGCAGGTCTCCAATGTGGGTTCAGGGGCCCAAGCACTTGGGCCATCTGCTGCTGCTTTCCCAGGCCATAGCAGAGAGCTAGACCAGAAGTGAAGCAGCCAGGACTCGAACCGGCACCCATATGGGATGCCAGCACTGCAGGTGGTGGCTTTACCTGCTATGCCACAGAGCCAGCCCCAGGCTTGTTGGTTTCACTCGTTGTTGCCCAAATGGGAGCTCCCTGTCTTGAGTACTGCTTGTGTGCTTGGCACCATGTTTAGTGATGTCATGCATGTGTAGACATGCATGTGACTGCTGCATGCCTGGCCCTGTCGCAGGGGTGCCCTGGCCCTGGTGGTGGGAGCCGAGTTACTCGGCCCCTCCTCTGGGATCTGCCTGTCCCACAAGTTCAGAGCTTCTGCCCTGCTGTTTCAGTTCCCCCCACTGTGGAGGTCACACAGCAGCCCATGGGGGCAGGGACCCAGGTGAACGTCACCTGCCACGTGGACAAGTTCTACCCCCGGGACATGCAGCTGAGCTGGCTGGAGAATGGAAACGTGTCCCGGACAGAGACGGCTTGGACCCTGGTGGAGAACAAGGACGGGACCTACAACCGCACGAGCTGGCTCCTGGTGAACTCCTCCGCCCACAGGGAAGATGTGGTGCTGTCCTGCCAGGTGGAGCATGACGGGCAGCCGGCGGTCACCAGAAGCCACACCCTGGAGCAGGGCACAGACACCCGCCTTGGTGAGGCCGCCCCTCCAGCTGGCCTGGCTCTTTTGAAATTTTATCTTAACCTCATCCTTTTTTATAAAAAATGTTACAAGTTGTGGTCATGCATATTGAAGAATTCTCTGGAAATCTGTAAACAGTGGGCAGAGTTTAAAGTCTGCTCTCTCCTCCAAACCCACACTCCAGGAGTCACCACTGCTGAGTGTGGGACCCATCCTGATGGACTCACGTCAGCAGCACAGGACCCCACGTGAGCGGCTCGGTGTTTCCTGGTTAAGCAGCTGAGACGCTCACTCGGGCTTTCCTGCACAGGCATCTCTGAGTGCTTTGTGGGATTTTGCTGTGAAAACTGTGGGCCCCCAGAAATCTTTCCCGAAGTTGAAAAATTATGAACTCAATTTTCTTAATACTTTTAAGGCTATTCACTTTATTCATTTCATATTGGGCAAATTGTGGTAGGTTGTGCTTTTGGAGGAATTTTTGGTCCATTTTATCTGTTTTTGTCCAATTTCTGTGTGTAGAATTCATCCCAGTATCCCCCTGCCACCCGTCTGGTACCTGCGGTGCCTGTAGTGACAGCCCCTCTTTCGTTTATGATTTTTGGAAATGTGTCCTTTCTCTTTTCTTTGTTAGTATCGCTGGAGGTCTTTCCATTTTATTGACCTTTTCAAAGGACCTGCTCTGTTTCAGTCAGTTCCTCTGCTGTTTTCTGCTTGCAGTTTCCTTGGTTTTCTGCTTGTTCGTTCCTTTTTTTTTTTTTTTTGACAGGCAGAGTGGACAGTGAGAGAGAGAGACAGAGAGAAAGGTCTTCCTTTTTGCCGTTGGTTCACCCTCCAATGGCCGCCGCGGCCGGCGCGCTGCGGCCGGCGCACCGCGCTGATCCGATGGCAGGAGCCAGGAGCTAGGTGCTTTTCCTGGTCTCCCATGGGGTGCAGGGCCCAAGCACCTGGGCCATCCTCCACTGCACTCCCTGGCCACAGCAGAGAGCTGGCCTGGAAGAGGGGCAACCGGGACAGAATCCGGTGCCCCGACCGGGACTAGAACCCGGTGTGCCGGCGCCGCTAGGCGGAGGATTAGCCTAGTGAGCCGCGGCGCCGGCCTGTTCGTTCCTTTTTAATTTCCTTTCTCTCGCTTGCCCTGGGGTTATTTTGCTGTTCTTTCTCCCCTTTCTTGAGGTGGGAGCGTAGGTCTCTGACCTGAGACCTCCACTCTTCTCTGGGCCGCGCCTGGCTTGCCTTCTGCAGCTGGGGGTTGGAGTTGGGTCCCAAGATGCTGGCCGTGGTGTCCTTGTCCAGGCCTCAGGCCCCTGCCCTGCTGCCTTCCTCCTCCAGCTTTGATGACCTCCTCTGCTTGCCCCGGCGGTATCTCCAGGGTCCGAAGTTGTCTTCACAGGAGCAGGAAGAAATGAGCCTGCAGCACTGGGACTGACCTGTGTCTGCTTTTTGGTCTTCTGTCCGCTGGCAGGGCTCAGTCCCTTCCGCAGGCTTTCAGTTTGTCTGGCAGCGTCCTAGCTGGCACTAAAGCTGGAGAGGCGTGGTAGGCTATAGCGACATCCACGATGCTGCCTCCTGCACGCCACAGCCTACCCAGGGCTTCGGGGGTCCCCAGCCGTTGCAGCCCCAGATACCACAGGATGCACATCTTTGGCGCCGTGCGTATGGTTTCTGGGTTTTTTACAATATTCCTAACTGAGTTTACCTCTCTCTGTTAGTATAGGAAAATCCAGATATGCTGATATAGTTTGAGTTGTTTGTTTTGATGGTGGGGAAAATGTTCTTTTATTTTTAAAAAATATATTTTTTTATTTACTGGAAAGGCAGAGAGAGAGGAGAGAGGGAGACAGAGAGAGGATCGATCTTCCATCTGCTGATTCATTACCCAAACAGCTGGAGCTGGGCCAATCCAAAGCTTGGAGTCAGGAGCTTCTTCTGGGTCTCCCAGTGGGTGCAGGGGCCCAAGCACTTGGGCCATCCTCCACTGCTTTCCCAGTCACATTAGCAGGGAGCTGGATTGAAAGTGGAGCCACTGGGACTCCAACTGGCACTCACATGAGAAGCCAGCGACCAGGCAGCAGCTTAACCCTCTGCGCCACAATTCTGGCCTCAGCAAAATGGCCCTGAGTCCCCTAATTTTTTGGTTCTTTTCTGTCTTTCAGGATCCTACGTTTCCATCTCCACTTTTTTTCCCCTTTACCAGTAAGATTCCAAAAGAGCACTTCCTTCCTTCCTTCCTTCCTTCCTTCCTTCCTTCCTTCCTTCCTTCCTTCCTTCCTTCCTTCCTTCCTTTTGCTTTCTCTCCCCCAGTGCCTGTCCTTTTCAAATGTCCCTGCCACCCTGGGCAGGGTTCCTACTGATGCGACTGCCACACATCCCCATGAGTTCATTACCCTGCAGTCCTGGAGGGTGATCCCTCCCACGGGTCAGCAAGGCTGGGTCCTCCCTCTGGAGGCTCTGGGGTGCAGAGTTGGGGGTGGGGGCGGGAGAGGCTGTCCCCTTGCCCAAATCATGGAGAGGTGGGGAGCCTTCTTCTGCCAAGGGCCATCCAGATATTTGTAACATCATTCAGGGGCCACACAGAACTGTCAACTTAAAAAACAAGCCTGCTATAGAGGTATTGAATTTTGAGTCTGGCCTGCGGTTGCCTTGGCAGGGCCAGACCACATGACTAACACAAGTGCCCCGACCCGTGAGAGCTCGCCTAGCGAGTGGTCCCACGTCTCTCTGACTTCTGCTTCCATCGCGACCACATCTCCTTCTGAGACTCTGATTCCTCTGCCTCCCCTTTGCACGTCCAAGGCCCCTGTGATTGCTTCAAGCCCACCTGGAGAACCCAAGCTAATGGCCCCGACCCCACCCATCTCACGGTCACCACTGCCGTGTCCTGCAGGGGAAAGGCAAGCATTCACAGCTCTTTAGGTCAGGCCTAATTCAAGGTCCCTTCTTCCGAGGGTCTGTGCTCCGATCTACAGGACGGTTTTCCACGTCAGGGTGGGTGCAATGTTGGCTCCTCTGCGTGGAGCCTTCTCTGTTCTTCCAGCACTTTCCTTCCCCGCCGGGTGATGGTGAGAGGGGCGAGCGAGGGAGAGACTGTGCCCAAGGGGTTGCTCGCTCTCTCTCTCAGTTCTATTCCATGAGTAACGTTGAAGGCCAATTTTGCATAGAATATATTTTTCATTTCTTGTTTCTTTTAATTTGGGGGAGGTATTTGTGGAGATGGCAGTTGCCTTGCTATGCTGGTCCTTCTAGAAGTCAAGGGAAGGTCTCTGAGTGCTCTGGCCCGTATATGCTGTCCCATATCTCGGGCTCCCACCGGGGCCCTATCCTAGCATAGCAGGCTCTGCCCTGAACCTCTGCTACTCTTAGAATCCTCAGCTGTTTCTGCCCTCTGGCTCTAGGAGATCAGAATCTACAATGCTGTCAGGAGGTCCTTTGACTTTCCCATTTAGCCTTTAACTTGTGATCAATCTTAGCTCCAATGTCTTTCGCCAAAGGGTTGATGCCCAGTGGCAGTCTCCACCCATACTCCTTAGCATGACCCCTTCCCACAGCATTTCAAGTGCCCGGTGTTCCTGGAGTCCCCTTGCTGTGACCACCCCAGATCACTGCCAGTGAAAGCCGTGACCAGCACAGCACCAGCGAGCCAGGGCGCCACCTCCGCTGCACTCCTCACTGCCCGCCTAGGAGTGATCGGGTTCCAAACGTGCGTTTTAGAGCCTGGTTTCCAGACCACTCACCTGGGGTCAGTTTCCTGGGAAGCAGACTCTGAGATGGAGCAGGAATGCAGGGAACATTCAGGAACGCTGGCAGGGTCAACACACCTGATGGGTGGGGAAGCTGGCCTGGCCCCACAGCTCCCTCGAAGATAGACAGGCAGGGATGGGCTGTCAGGGTTGTTCTCAACTGAGGGGCCGGGCTGGGCCAGGACGTTCCCTTGCTCCCTATTTAACGAGTCTGTGTTGAGGGCTGCCCTTGTTGGAGGCGTGCACTTGGGGGTGCAGCTCTCTCCCCGTTAGTGAGGGTCCTAGAGCTTTCTGCCTGCAGCCCCCCACAGCCACATGTGCGGGGGTCCCCCTCTGCCTTATGGAGCTGTCAGCACAATTTTACTTACAAAATACATTATTTCAGTACCTTTGCTTAATTCTTTTTTTTTTTTTTAAAGATTTTACTTATTTATTTGACAGGTAGGGTTACAGACAATGAGAGAGAGAGACAGAGAGAAAGGTCTTCCTTTCGTTGATTCACTCCCCCAGATGGCCACAATGGCCAGAGCTGTGCTGATCTGAAGCCAGCATCCAGGAGCTTCTTCCTGCTCTCCCATGTGGGTACAGGGGCCCAAGCACTTGGACCATCCTCCACTGATTTCCCAGGCCATGGCAGAGAACTGGACTGGAAGAGGAGCAACCGGGACTAGAACCCAGTGCCCATATGGGATGCCAGCACTGCAGGCGGAGGAGTAACCTAGTGTGCCATGACGCCTGCCCCACCTTTGCTGAATTCTAAAAACAAAAACATCTCACTGTAAAAATGCAGAGTCCAAATGTGTGCTGCTTCAGGTCTTTCTGTGACCAACAAATGTTCTGATGACATCTGCCCCCCAGGGTACAAGGGACTGGATGATGATGGAGGCCCCCTAAGTACAAGATGAGACCCACTTCCTTGACTCGCCGGGATGTTTTCCCACCAGCAGCTTTCACAGACCAAAGCCAGCCTCTCCCTCTCCCACGGGTGGCTCACTCGGCTCCTGAGGGCACGGGGGCCTCCAGCCCACCCTGGGGCAGAGCAGAGCACCTTGCCGCCCTCACTGTGGGACATCCTCACTCCATGGGCGTGCTCTGCTGGTAGCTGCACCTGCAGCCCTGGGAGCTTAGGCTTGCCTTGGTCCAAGGGACACAGCCTCAGGGGTTGTTGTAAGAGACGGCAGGTTTGGATCACCCGTCTCGTGACCTTTCCTAAGCTCTGAGTCTCAGTTTCCCCTTCAGAAGGGGAGCAAATAATTCCCTAACTACAGGGTGGTGAAGATCGAGTAGAAAGCAGGTGCCACCTGTCGGCACCACATGGCTGAGTGTGCACTGTCCACACTTCTCTCACTGAGGACAGCCTGGCAGCCTGAGCCACGGGTGACCGGCCACCAGGACCCTCGTTACCCAGGTTCCTGCCTTGGGCTTGAGCCAGGGCAGCCAGAGCAGGAGGCAGGTTCCAAAGCGTCAGAGTATTGCTGGGTCCAAGAAGCCTCAGGAGGCCAGAGAGGGCCCCTGGGAATGGACTCCAGC